TCAGTTGTCTCTTGTTAAATAATATGCCCTGGAGACATGATGAGAACCTCTCAAGTACCTCTATTTCTGTTACAGAAAAACAAATCCTGAAGCCTAATGACGTTTCGGTGTTTTCTGCTCTGAGCATCAATGGCCGATTGTTTGCCTGTCCTCGGGACCAGCTCAACAGTCTGGTAAGAGATTCATGTTTCCTGTCTACATAGAACGTCCACTGTGGTTTTCATGAAATGGCTTTGCAGTAATACCTTGCATGCATTGTTAGTTGTGATTATATTATGATGGTGATGTACGTAAGCACATGAGCTCATACAGTGATCAATAAAGCACAGCTTGCCGTGCTTAATGGGAATTGTAGGCACTATTACAATAGGTCTTTGTCACACGACATTGTTGAGTAAAATGTGAGTAAAATATCTTGATTGTAATTAGCACAAATGTGTGTATTTGTGTCTGTGTGTCTCAGACTCCTCTTCCAGACCAGGAAGGTCCCTCTGCAGGCTCCATGTCAACTTTTGAGCTGATGAGCTCGAAGGACCTGGCTTACCAAATGACGTTGTATGACTGGGAGCTCTTCAGCTGTGTGCATGAGGTATCATCACATATGCATATATACACATACTCAAAAACAACCCCAGGTCAGCAGTAGAAGACAAGCATGCACAGTGTTGCATAGAGTCTTATTTTACTCTTTGAAAGAAGAGTCCGGTATGGAGTCTGACCATAGAAGTGTAACCTTTCACAGCAAGTTGGCTTTTTACAGGCCCTGTTCTACTCTGATGCTGCATCAATGTTCATGATAAAGAAAACACACAGGATTAATGCTCAATAGATGCAAGGTGGCAGGACCTGTCCACTGGATTAACTCCAAACCTGCTCCCCTTAATGTCCCCCCCCCCCCCCAGCATGAGCTGCTCTACCACACGTTTGGCCGGCAGACCTTCAGAAGAACCACGGCTAATCTGGACCTGTTTCTGCGGAGGTTCAACCAGGTTCAGCTGTGGGTGGTCACTGAGGTGTGCCTCTGCGCACAGCTCAGCAAGAGAGTCCAGCTCCTCAAGAAGTTCATCAAGATAGCAGCACAGTGAGTGGTACCGGCTGGTGACTGTCGCACGCTTCATCCGTATGCTGGGTAAGACACCAAGATGACGAGATTCACTTTATGTCTCGCTTATGTGTGTTTGTCCGTAGCTGTCGGGAGTTTAAGAACCTAAATTCATTCTTTGCCATCATTATGGGGATGAGCAACCCTGCTGTTAGCAGACTGAGCCAGACGTGGGAGGTAAGCTTTGTCTAATCTATGTCTGGATCTCCAGTGAACCTTGACTGTATTACACTATTCCTACATTCATGTCACTGAGATCTTCTGTTTTTCCCGACAGAAACTCCCCACCAAGTTTAAGAAGTTCTATGCCGAGTTTGAGAGTATGATGGTGAGTCGCATGGAATTCCATTCACCACTATTGTATTGGGTTGGCCACAGAAATCTATAGAGGGATTCATTTAAAACCAAAACCACACCAGAACTACCTGCACAGCTGTATCATTAAGGATAATTAAGAAAATGTGTTTTTGTAATTTGGGTGACCTGAGTTACAAATGTCTTTAGAAATGGACACTGTTTGTATGTTTGGTGACAGGACCCATCAAGAAACCACCGCTCCTACCGGATCACTGTCACCAAACTGGAACCACCAATCATCCCCTTCATGCCCCTCCTTCTCAAAGGTACGACTCAGTGTAGAGCAGCTATTCTCCGCTGGTGATCAGAGGAACTGTTAAACAGTTAGATAAAATAAACAAAATGTACGTATTTATTATTTTGGGCATTACGTAACACATATTAACAGCAATTTCCTATCGTTCTTTCTCGTCTTTCATTTTTTTTTTTCACGCTATGCTTTTTTCATCATTTATTTGGGAAGGTGGTCCTTGGATTTGGATCAGAAGTGGACCTTTAATTACAGAAGGTAGCCTGCCAATAAATTTCACTTATTTCTTTACAGACATGACATTCACACATGAGGGCAACAAGACCTTCATTGACAATATGGTCAATTTTGAGAAAATGGTGAGTTTCTGTACACAATGAATAAGGATATGTTTTATGCGTCATACTGTTCGTCACTCAAGTTGGATGTAATATCTAAAGAGCGTCTTATCCTTATCTCCTAACAGCGAATTATAGCTAACACAATTCGGCAAGTGAGGCACTGTAGAAGCCAACCGTTCAGTAAGTCTGCCTATTACTTCAATTTTACCACATTTCCATGCTGGCTTTACACAAATCTTTCCAATCCCACTTTCCTTCCTTTTGTTTCCTCTCTTACTGCTTTAGATCCTGAGATATGCCAACCCAACAAAAATCAAGCAGACGTACGGGGTTACGTGAGGAAGCTCTCCGTGATTGACAACCAGAGGGCACTGACGCAGCTCTCCTACAGGATGGAGCCTCGCCGGACATGAGCTCCAAATCTTCCACCATCATCGCCTTCTCTGTGACGTCAGCATAAAAAAAACACACACACACACACACATTACCTGGATAAAATAACACGACTGGCCGTTCAGTAGCAAATCAGTCAATGACTTTAGCACCGCCGTGGGCTGTTATGGACGAAGGACTTAATACTGTGCCATTAAAAGCCTCTTCTTCCTGGACAGACAGAAACTGTTCAGCTGCTCTCTTGTCGCTGTGTCTCTGAAGGTTTTAACCGTAGTAGTTGTTACTGTTTGGGACCTGTTAGATAGAACTGTAATGTATAGAACTCGAATCAATACCCTGCATGACTGAACTTCATAGGCTTTGCGTTCTATACAGTGTATTTCTATCGGAGAGTCCTGTAATGTTGTGCTGCCCCAAAATGAGCCCTAGTTTACAATATATTACTGTACCTGCCTGTAAAGCAAACCTCACTCTCCTGATGCTCCATTCATAGACAGAAAACACAGAAAACACCCATAAACTGTAGGTAACTAGAATCTTCATTTTGTCCTGTTGAATATGAAATCTGAAAGTATATTTACTTCATGAACTAAATGATTATATCCAAGTCTTTGAAAACCTTTGGGATTTGATGTCCTTTGAGTAAATATCGGTGTCCCTTAACTAGCCGGACACTTCAACTACTAAACAGAGTATTAGTTTGATTAAAGCCCTAGTTGTATTGCAAACAGTGTTCAAATTTATAACTACAGTATTGCGTTTTATTTTTGCATCGGAGTACAACTCCTGTCGAACATGAATTATTCTGGTTGATGATGTTGGTATGATCTGTTCTGAGGTCAGTTGTATAACCAAATTGTACTCCTTTTGATTTGGAAGCACTGATCCTAGATGCCGAGTCTTAAAGGCAACTTATACTTTGAGGGGAAATCTTGTCATCTCAGTCCGTGTCATTTTTTATTTTTATATATATATATATATATATATATATATATATATATATATATTTGGGTGTAGATTGTGAGCGTGTTCCTAATTTTCCTTTGATCTCAGGAGCTTCTGATGTGATAGTGTGTGCGAGAACTGCCGTGAGGCTGGCTCTCTCCAGAGCCAGCCTGTAACTGTACTCGTGTGCGTGTGGTCTGCCTTGTAAATAAAAATAGCTAATTTAACAGTGCTTAAGCTTTGATGACATTCTTTAAAATATGTTCTTTCCCCCACACGTGGTAAGAAAGACTGAGGATGGTGATGCACACCAACATGTACAACTTCTTTAATACACACACACAGATTGGCTTCAGCTTAGAGGGGTGTTGAGTGACATCACGAGGAGGTTGCTTTCCAAACGGCGAACATGAGGTTTGAAAGATGTGGCAGCGAGGGTCTAATGAACGACGCGATCAAGCTGCATTATGTGACTTGTCGGGGCATCCAGCATTTCTGGAGCTTGAAAAAGTCTGGACATCAGTATTATATGAGAGACATTTTCTTGTGAGTGACGAGAGGAACTTGTTTGCAATATGTGGATTAGAAATAGACAATATTGTGCACAAGTTTTGGTGCTGTAGTCAACTACTTTGGAGTGAATTAAGCGGCAACACTGACTTCCATGCTCCCCTGATGATCTCTGTCCATTTAGTCAAAACCTATTTCAAAGATAGAAATAAACTTTGACGCAGATACTCTGTTTGCTTCCCAGAGGAGGAACCCTTTTTCAATTTCCTTTAACAACACCCTAATGCAATAATTTCTACTACTAGACGAGACATTTTATTTTGTGTATCCAACAATTTAGTACTATGGGGTGTGATGATTCATTGCAGCTTCTAGGAGTCATGTTTTATTCATGCGATGACTCACTGTTCTGTCTCCTCTGACACTTGATAGCTGTCACTGACTGAGAAGAGTCCTAACTTCCCATAGCTGTTCTCACCTTTCCCGACGCAGTGATGTCAGCACGGCTATCTTCCTTGATGATGTCACTGGGTCTCATTCCTGTCGGGCTGAGTAACACGAAGTCCCCTGCTCGGGTTCTCTGGGGTGTGTGTGTGTGTGTGTGTGTGTGTGTGTGTTTGTTTTTAGATGCAGAGTGTTTCAACGATGGATTCAGATATTTGAGGCAGTCACCCTCGTTGCTAACTGATTTACTATGTCTGACACGCTATAGGCCAGAACTGTATATATGTGTGTGTGTGTGTGTGTGTGTGTGAAGAGCTTTATATAGACACAGTTATCCAGGAAGAAGGAATGCCCTGGATGCCAGTGACCATATTTGAACAGTGTGTCGGCTGCAGGCAGACTGCACACTCCGACTGCAAACCGTAACTTACACACACACTTAAACACTCACCTCTCCTTCATCCTCTCGCTCTGTGTGTGAGCTTTGTGTTGTAGTTACACTGGATCGCCACTATCAGGCAATGTAATACCTTCTCTATTCTATTGGTGACAGTGGGGCTCCGACTTCTCCTGACTCACAGGGAGCAAACGTCTCTCTCTCTTTCCAGCTCTTTCTCGTTTCTTCTCTCTGACAATCTGTTCTGCTGACTGACAACGTCCACTCTGACCCTGTGGAGGAAACGACCCCACTTCTCTTTAGTTCTTATCCTTCGCTCTCTCTCTGTGCTGATCCGTGACTTGTATACTTTTTGGGGTAGCGTTGGTGGTTGTGCGGGCACACTTTTGTGCTGTGTGTGTGTGTGTGTGTGTGTATATGTGTGTGTTTGCGTGTGCGTGAGTCAGTATGCCATGTCGTCCCCTGGCTCGTCGTTTGTGCAGATAAAGCATGAGGACCTGCTCTTTTATGAGAACTGTGGAGGAGGCAGCTTTGGGAGCGTCTACAGAGCCCTCTGGATATCCCAGGACAAGGAAGTGGCTGTGAAGAAACTTCTAAAGATTGACAAAGAGGTAAGGAGGAGAGACACACACACACACACACACACACTAGAACACACAGAGCAATCATACACTTATGACAGCGGAGACACACACAAATGTCATTTTAAGATCCAGAGTATTTAGAAGTGATGGACTCATCTATGGCACATTAGTTTACACTCATTTTTCCAGATTCTCTTTGGACAGCCAAAGCCCCCTATTTCCCTCCCTCCTCTGTTGTCTGCTGTCGAACATGTGTTTATCTTAAACATACCTCTCCCCGTCCCCCTCCTCCGTCCACTCTTTGTGGATGGAGCAGTTTTATTTATGCCAGCACTCCCTTGTTCCTCCCATTGTATTTTAGGACGAGGTGTGTGGTCATCTGGGGCTTTATGCGCTGCAGTTAAGGCCGGGTGGTTCTCCATTAGTATGACCCGGATGGTAATCCAACAAAATTCCCTTCCATGTTATTTAGTTTGGGCTGATGGAGGCTCATGGCCCAGTGTCAGGAAACTGTTAGGAGTAAGCGTGAGCTGTGAGTTAATCGGGCATGGTGTTATTATTGTTGCAGCAGATTTAAACACGTAAAGCATGCACATAAGTAAGGAACTCAAGTTGGGAACGTAAAATGCACTGTCACGCATGGGCCGACTGCATAAAACAGAGGGAACTAAATTTGATTTGTTGTTTGACTTATTTCACCCACACTCACTCATGCATAACAGTGTGTGTGTGTATGTGTGTGTGTGTGTGTGTGTGTGTTTTCATATATAAATACAAATTGATGGATTATGGGAGAACTGCAGCTTAGTGGATCGTTTTGCTGCAATACTTCATGTGCAATGGAGCTGTTTGTGAACACTCGCGTTAGAATCATATTTCAAGTCATCTTTGCACCAACATACTCACACAGTGGTGGAAGAAGTATTCACGTAGTTTACTCAAGTAAAAATAGCAACACCGCACTATGATTTTACTCTTATTATTATTTTGATTGCATTTATAAGACGTATATTTATAAGATGTATTAGCAACAACATGTAGTTAAAGTACACATGCAGAATCATATTATATGATCAACTCTAGCTGTCAGATAAAGTGTTAATTTGCATAAAATATAACTACTGAGGTAAAGTACAAGAACCTCAAACTTGTACATAAGTGCAGTACTTGAGTAAATGTGCAAATATATGCACACAAACTGATGTACACACTGATAATCTTACATGTAGGAATAAAAAATTGCTCTTTTGAAAAGAAAACATTTTCTTGAGAAAAATATTTCTGTGCAGTTTTTTGTGTGATTTACTGTAATTGCTGGTTGTGTATTATGTTGCTTGGCAACAGTTACATATTCCACCAGTGCAGAGGGTATGACCTGCTCGGTTTAATGGCATGTTTGTCACTGTGATGTGGAAGATCTTTGTTTGGAGACTCAACCTGTGTTATGAAAGAGGTTCAGACCTCAGTTCAGGCATCCGGGAGACACTGTCTGGAACAACGTTGGATAACAAGTCAGGAACTGTTAGGATTACAGTCTTCCAGGAATGATCTGCACATTATTGATGCATTACATATGTATGTGAAGTTGTTCATATCCCTCTATTTCTATTTCTTCTTGTCTCCTCGTCCAGGCGGAGATTCTTAGTGTCTTGAGTCATAAGAACATCATTCAGTTTTATGGAGCCGTGCTGGAATCTCCGAACTATGGCATTGTCACAGGTCAGACCCCACGTGTGTGTGTGTGTGTGTGTGTGTGTGTGTGTGTGTGTGTGTGTGTTTATAGGATTCATGTATCCTTTCAGAACACACAACCTAAACGTGATTGTGGGAGTATTTTAATTGCAAAATTTAATTCAGATAAGAATTATCTTTTGAAGAAGTGCTCTATAAATTAACATGTGTGTAATTATCTTTGGGGTTACGGCCTCACAGATATAAGTAAGTAGGTGTTACGGTCAAGTCGAGGTCTGAGGTGAGGCAGGGAGTGGTTAGGGTCAGGGCAGATTGTCCTCTCATATAAAACTACACAAGTGTGTGTGTGTGTGTGTGTGTGTGTGTGTGTGTGTGTGTATATATACATCTATGTATACTATATATGTCTATATACATATATGTATATAGACACGTATATTAGCTTTATTACTGTAGTGTGTATTGGATCCTCAAGGCGCCACTTACGGACACGTTAGCACACGCTCCGATGGCCGTGTCTTTGTGTGTGTTTTGAAGTATCAGTGTTTACGCAGGTTCTTGCTGCGTTTCCTGGCAGGACATTTGTAACTGAGACCAGCATGTTTGGATGTGGTTGTAATCCTGGATGGGGTCATATGGTTAAGATAAAGCACACCACTACAGTCCAGCAACAAGTCTAATAAAATCCAATGCTGACTAAAAATAAGAGTACAGTACGTAAAATTAAGATGGAGTTTGGTGCCAGTAAAATGCATTTTGCCAGACGTTTTAAAAAGACAGATTCGTCCATGTTCTACTCATCAGACTCCTTTCATTTGACATTATCCACTCTCTTCTACTCGTCTGTTTTTAATTGTCAGATTTAACAGGAAAATGAGGTTAAGAGTTCAAGAGATAATCTGGATTAGACAGTCAGGGTGTGAAGGTTGTGATCTTTTCCACTGATTTGAGTGAGCTCCTCTGTGCAGGTTTCTGAGCTGTGCTGTGCTTAACTGTGTGATGTTTCTCAAACATTATAATACATTGATGTAAAGTGTCCAGTCACTTCGCTCGTAGCATCGCAGTCACTTCTATTAAAAATTCTGTCAGTTAAGTTACATAGTTTTTACACACATTGAGTGATATCTGCCGTAACTGCATTAAAAAAGTGTATTTATATTCTTTCAATAGACTGTGTTTTAATGCGTAGCCCTGTTCTCCTGTAATGACAATTGCTCCTGTGTGTGCGTTCTTGCAGAATATGCCAGTGCAGGATCTCTGTATGAGTATCTTTCCAGTGAACAGAGTGAGGAGATGGACATGGAGCAGGTCATGACATGGGCTATACAGATAGCCAAAGGTACACTTTTTTGTCATTATTATTATTATTATTAATAATGATACATATCTCAGGGTTTAATCACTTAGCTTCTTAAATCAAGCAGAGGTAGGAGCACTCATGACCACCAGTGATCTGTTTATCGTCATACTCAAGTCATTATGTTAATGATGTTAAGGTTAATAAAAAAGTTTACACAGTGTTTTATTTGCCCCTTAATACATGCGTTTTTAACAAGAACACGTTGCCTGTTGCAATTGCTACAACTTCAAAAGGCAAAATGAAAAAATCAACTAAAACTATAAATATACACAACAGTAAAACATATTAATTTGGACATACTGTATATCTGTTGGAAATGCGATTTTTAAACACCTGGGGAAAGAAAAGTTGGCAAATGACACCTTGCTGATTACTGAGGCAGTTAATGTGTGTGGTACAAACCAACAATAATCCCTCTCAATCAGCATTCATGACCCACTGGGTCTGTGTCTGCTCTCTGTCTGTATTTTCCTTTTAATTTGTCTATGTTTGGGCCGTTTCTGGGTGTAGCAACTAGTTTCGTCAGCACGCATCCAAGGAGAATCTATGAAAATAGCAGACATGGCGCAGAAAAAGACACAAATATAGCGAGGCTAAACACCAAGAAGGGACCACGGCTAGTTCCAGAACAAGAGTGAATTTGAGGTAGTCTTTCTCCTGATGGCGAGCACCCTGCTAAGCGCAGCCAGGTGTCGTGCGTTGGTGTCATTGAGCCGGGGTGGAGGCCAACTTTGAAATCCTACTCTTTCTGCCTCTAAGTGCTGGAAGGAAATTCCACCAAAAAACAATCAGAATAAACATTAAAAGGTTGTAGTTTCTTTTTTTTTTTTGCCTGGTGTTGATGCTTGATTTCCTTACAGGGATGCATTACCTCCACGCAGAAGCTCCAGTCAAAGTCATTCACAGAGACCTCAAATCACGGAACGGTAACACTTTGAACACAATAACTCAATAACATCTAAAAATGAGTTCTCTTTGCCATTTGTCTGTTCGCTGTACTGTGTTACTATGCTTTGACTGGTTCCCTCTCGTTTACAGTGGTGATGACAGCAGACAGAGTGCTGAAGGTTTGTGTCTTGTGATGTCCAGACGACCACAAAAATAGCATTTTTCATTCAATTCAGGCACATGGGTATTTCTGCATTTTCTTCACTGCACTCTGTTGTGATTTCAGATCTGTGACTTTGGGGCGTCTAAGTTCCTGTCTCATACCACACATATGACGGTGGTGGGCACTTTTCCTTGGATGGCTCCTGAAGTCATTCAGAGCCTGCCCGTCTCGGAGACCTGTGACACCTACTCCTATGGCGTGGTGAGTATTGTGAGGCCAGGAATCAAACCGCAATCATTTTCTGGAACTAACCAATATAGTATTACTGACAGCTGGAATTAAATTAATTAAATTGCTCAGATTTGTTTTTGTCAGATTTTCTTTTATCGGACAGATTTTGATTTTGAAAAATACACTTTGCCGATTTCAAAAACTTCTATTGAAGCGATATTCTTGCATGGCTTTTTGTATTTAGATGAAATTTAACATCTAATAAGTCTGTGTTGAATTATGAAAAGATTTAGAAAAAAAAGGTTTGTGTATGTATCCGAAAAGTACAGTTTGGTATTAGTGTTAGCTATCGTATCAGCACTAGTATGCATTTCAAATTATTCTCCGCTTTACTGTATTGGGTATTGTGGGTATTTCTATCAATACATCTTCACAACTATTTAGGAGAGTTGCATATAATAAAAGACCGCTACTAGCAACACATCAAAGGAATCATGTCTGAATGAACCAACACAGTCTTGTTCTGTGGCCAGGTGCTGTGGGAGTTGCTGACTCGTGAGGTTCCTTTCAAAGGTTTCGAAGGGCTGCAGGTTGCATGGCTGGTGGTGGAAAAACAAGAGGTAACCCCCACAAACACACACACACACACGGGAGCGCACCTTTCTGAACACACTGTCAGCATGTAGACCCATTCGAGTTTGAGAAGGCTGGAGGAACAATGCGATGCTCTCATGGTTTCCACTGCGAGCTGGTGAAGCTGAGGCTGGGTATTTTTAGGCCTGATGTCAGCTCTCTGCTCTTGTAAGGCCTGGATACACAGCAGTGGAGCTCGGCCAGACTCCCCCCTTTGCTAAAGCCTTTACGAGACAGCGAGGGAGAGGGAGAGAGAGAGAGAGACAAAGAGAGAAAGGTGGGGAAAGAGGAAAGACTTGCAGTGATAGCAGGGTTAATTCAAGAGGTTTATGGGAGGTGGGGGATGATGGTTATAGAGTGTGTTTCAGTTATTGACGTGCCTGAATCCCCCACAACAGACACACACACACACACACACACACTGGGGGCCAACAAACAACTCTGAGAACATGATTCCTGCGTAGCTGTTGGCTAATCTCCAAATACGCTCCCTAAATAACTCTCTTTCCCTTTCCCAGTCTCCCTCTGATTTTCCCCTCCACTGCTATGCCTCTCCTCCTGACCCTCTTATGTGCCCTCTCTCCACTTAGAGTCAGTTTTCTCTGGGGATTAATCCTGAAATATCACTGTTTCCATTCACTGTAGTATGGAGCTGTCTGCTGGGTTCATTCAGACCTTTGGTGATGCCAGGGGATCTTCAACGCAGGGGACATTATCTCCGTGGAATGTCGTGGTTTAGTGGTGTTACTGCAGTTCACATGTTATAGAAAGATATACATGGAGCCACACACATTTTACCTCATAAACCGATTGAGTGTGCATTGAACAGATGTTTAGATTAAGAACTTTTTCTCTCTGAGCTCTTCTCTCTGGTTTGAGGTGGGTGGGACTTGGAAAAGGTGATGTCCCATGTAATGTACTTCTGATAACCAATCAGGATTCAGCAATATTTGGTTTAAAATGAGGTGGCATCGGTGGGGCGGTTTCCTTGTGTCTTGTTAAATGTCTTGACAACTATTAGAGGGTGTGCCATGATGACAATCATAGTCCTCAAAGGATGAATGCCATTGACTTTGATGATCTCCTGATTTTTACTCTAGTGCCATCATCACCAGGTCGAAATATTAATTTGCAGAATACCTTTGTTCATGACTAAATACCTGCCAAACTGATGACATTAGCCTTAGCTGTACTTTCTGTTTCCTACAAATTAGCAAATGTTAGCATGGTAACACGCAAAACTAAGAAGGTGAACAGGGTAAACATTATACCTGCTAAACATCAGCATACTAGCATTTGTCACTGTGAGCATGTTAGCATGCTGATGTTAGCATTTAGCTCAAAGCTCCCCTGTGCTTCACAGAATAGACAACGTGTCTGCAGACTCTTAAATGTTGCTTATTTAGTCATGAATATTTAATGTTTGGAGGAAAAAACTTTAGATTTGAAGACAAGTTTTCAGAGGCTTTAAATGGTTGTTAGTAGGTTTAATTATTTTAAAAACAAGGTGGTACTATGTGACTTTTCTTTTTTGCAAATAAAAAGCTACTTCTTGTATGCGTTTATGTATCTAGAGGCTGACTATCCCCACCAGCTGTCCAGGAAGTTTTGCAGAGCTGATGAGAAAATGTTGGCAAGCAGACCCAAAGGTAAGCAAAATGAACCATGGTTACAGTGGTTAATCTCCTAAAAAATGTCTCTTGTGCCTCACAAAATTGTTAAAGACATTAAAACAAGGTGTGTCAGCTGGTTATTTTATCCTGTGTGCATGCATGGGCCTACAGGAGCGTCCGCAGTTCAAACAGGTGCTGGTAAACCTGGAGACCATGGGCAACGACAGCAGGCTACCGGACCAGTGTAACTCCTTCCTACATAACAAGGACCAGTGGAGGTATGCACACACGCACACACACACACACACACACACGCACACGCACACACAGAGCCAGGCTGTAGGTGGAAGGGTAGGCCAGCTTGGTCCAAGTATCGGGGACGTTATCAATCTTGTAGACATCCCAAAAAAAAAACCACAGTGCATCTGCACTGCGTCTGAGAATGAGGCGGGTCATTTTCAAAGCGTATAAAGTAAAGTCTTGTTCAGAATGACAAATGCAGTCTGTGATTTACTGTACTCCAAATAAAAGTCCAAATGCATGCAGACAGAAATTCAACAGAGTCACACACGTGCATACATACACAGCTCTGTGGACTCTAAAGCTCTGGAGAGAAGTTGAATGTGTGACCCTGTGGTCTACTTCGGTCTATAATAAGCTCTGTGGAAAGTGTCCATGGAAGAGATTCCTCTGCTCCTCCACTTTGCCCTTGCGCCACCACGGGGAGAAAGACAGGGGGTGGGCAAAAGGTAGAGGAGAAATCAAGTATGAGCTGGAGAAAAGAAGAAGTTCAGAGAGCTATTAGGTGTGAAATCTAAAAGACGGAACAAGGGACAGAAACAGCGGGTGGCAGGAAGCGAGAGAAGTCAACGGCAGGGGTGAGACAGGGGAGAGAGAGAGAAAGGGAGGTGGAGGAAGGAGCAGAAGAGACAAGGTGCGAGATTCTGTGCATTTTTAACATGAATACAGCGAGGCAATCAATTCTGAGGGAAGTTTTGGGTACGGGTGGAAACAGTCGGACAAGGAAAGGGGGATGCGAAGAGGAGGAGGGGGGGAGGAAGAGTGAGGGAGTTGAAGGGGCGGGATGAATGAATAGGGAGGTATGGAAGGAACACAGGAGGAGGTATGGCTGTGCGTCATATCTGTCTATATTTAGTTGCTGTGAGTTGATTGTGTTTGTGAATGCAGTTTCATGGACAGTCACTCACTACTCACAGTGACCTCTTGTGGTAACTCACAGTACTGCAGCTACATATTTGACTTTCTTTTGTGTTCTTCTGCAGGAAGTCAAGTAAACTCAACATGTTATGTCATGTGGTCTCCTATAGGACACAAGAATACACTCATTTAAAATAGGTTTATCCTTCCAATGTTTGCCAGTGTATCAGAGCGGCAGCTTTGCTTTCAGTTATAATTGGCAACGTTGATCCAGTTTCATAGTACATAGACATTTTTGAGCATATTTTATGCTGTATACTATTTGTATTTGGTACCGTTTGGGATTGCATAGGGTAACCTGTGTTGCAGTTGCAGAACACTACAGTATCCACAAGAGTACAAGTAAAGCACATTGGTCAATTAGTGATCTTGAGAGCCGTAACTTGTAAAAGAGTAGCGTTTTTGAACAATTTTGCACGTGCTACTGAAATATTTATCTGATTCTTTTCCCCTGTTAACTTGCTGTTAAAACAAATCCACGTCTGCATGTACAAAGTCCCAATAGATGACGTATATTCTGTCATACTCCAGGTGTGAAATTGAGTCGACCTTGGAGCGCCTTCGGAAGCTGGAGAGGGAGTTGTACTCTAAAGAGAAGGAGCTGGAGGAGAGGGAGACGAGGCTCAGACTGTGGGAGGAGAGGCTGATGGAGCGGTCCAACATGTCTCCCAGTCCGACCTCCCTACTCATGGAGCGCTCAAACATCTCACCAGTAAGTGGAAGTAGATTTTTGTTTTTTTTCAGCTGTCTGAAGCAGATTTACATTTCCTCAAATACCTTTTTTTTATGATCTTGGCCCTCCTCTTCTTCCCTTCTCCCTAACTTTATCAGTTCTTCACACCAATGTCCATCGGTTCCTCCGGCTCCTTCTTCCGCTCTCATTCTCAAGACTCCAACAGTGCAGGAGTCAGCAGTGCTGGCGTCAGCTGTCTCCTCCGCACCCTCAGCAATGGAGACACGGAGAGGGGGAGCAGTGCGGTGCTGGAGAGGGGGATGGGCTCGCTCGACAGCGGGAGGCTGCATGCCGTGCTCCGAGGGTTGCAGGGGCGGTTGGGAGAGGAGGACGGGGAAGAGGAAGGAACCCTGGAGGAAAAGGGCTGGGGGCAGAGGGAAAGGGATGACACCGGGAGCATGGAGGGAGGAGGAAGGGTGCAGGTGACACTCAGGAGTTTCCCAGGTGGTGTAGTTGAGAGGGAGGAGAGGACTTGGGAGGAGGGGGACCGGGAGAAAGGAGGGATGCAGAGGAGCAGAGTGACCACCATAGTCCGAGGGTATTCGGGTGGGTTTGGAGAGGCAGAAGGGGAGAAGGAGAAGGAGGGAGGATGGGAGATAGAAAAGCTGGGGGACCGGCTAGATGAGAAAGGGAAGGAAGGAGGCATAGAGGGAGGGAGGCTCCCGACCATCTTCAAGGGTCTCCATGGGAGTATGGGGGGCTTGGGGGACATGCTGTCCTTAGACATGGATGAGATGGGGGAGATGGAGAGACTAGGTGACATGGACATGAACATGAACATGGGCGACCTGGGAGTGATGAAGGTCAGGAGTGAGCTTGGGGTCAGGGGTCGCAGGAGTGACATGGGAGTCGTGCTCCAGGGAGTCAGAGGGGACCGCAGCGAGGCCATCAGCCAAAAGATTAGAGGTGAAGTAGGAGTCATCGGTCGCTCGGGGGTGCAGGTGAGCATGCGGGCCTCGTCCAATCAGAACTCTGTGAAGAGCTGCAGCGTGCGACACGGAACCAAGATCAACATGGCCACTGCAGCCATGGACATGATGGAGCTAGATTGGTCCGACAGTGACTAGCACACACACACACATGCACAGAAAACACACATACAGAGGCCAAACTAGAGCGATTTTGACTTGTTAGCACATACAGTGTCTGAGCTACAGTATGTGCATTAGAATCTCCAGTTTGAAAAGAGCTGGTTTACACACATTTCTTTTGTTAATTATTTTTTATTGAATGGATGAATTCTATACCCATGTGTACTGTGAAGTAGGAAGGAGCGAAAAGACAAGAAGAGGTTGTCTTGTCATGTTGTCAGAATGACTTCACCTGTTTAATTTAATGTGTTATTAAAACTGCTGCATAACATACTGTAGGAGGTACAAGTGTTACAAAATAACACACTTGAATGCCGCTCTAATGAGGCAGCACTGTCTGGTTTTTTTTTTTTTCCTTCTACTTAAAAACTATTTTGTAGTTTAGATTTGATTTGTTCAAAACAAGCTTTGACTTTATCGGTTCTAACTGTGATCTAGTGTGTGTATTTTCGGAATTTCTTTCTGTATATTTTATCATTTTTCAATAAAAAGAGAAGAAACTCAACCTTCTAGTCTACGTGCATAAGTTTTCGAAACCCCGAATACCACATGTGATAACATGGTACACACCGACCTTGCCCAATAAAACAACATCCCTCTCAACTTGAATCTTGACCCCCTCAACTCCCTCTCACACACTGAGCAGCAGAGCCACTCCTGCCAGCACCCACTTGGCAGGCCTCTCCCTTGTTTTGAGGCTGAAAGTCCAAACATATGTGGGTCCTCTGATCTTGGTCTTGTAGAGCGGACACTCGTAGATATTCCTGGTCTCCTGGCGGTCATTGGGCACAGCTCGGACTGAGATGACGGGCATGGTCGGGGTCAGTTCCTTTAGACGGGCTTCAGCAATCACCCCAGCCTGAGTGTCCCACCTTGCACCTGTGAGAGGAGGACAGGACAAATGTTAAAAACTAGGGAATTTAAAGATTACAGAAAGGGCAAATTAAGCTTTCACTCAAAATGTCCAAAGATAGGTATGTTGCTCAAGGATCAGTAAGAGAAAAAATGTCCCTCCATGCTGCCCCTTTAATAGAGAGGAAATGAAAGGCGGTGTTTGTCTACCTTCCATGTAAAGTCCATAGATGTATGCACCCTCCCTGGCAGGTTGATTGAACTCTTCCTTAAACTTCTTGGTTACATCCACCGTCAGGTTTACTTTATCCAGGGGCCACTCGTTCTTACGCGCCAGAGATTGCATCACCGCTGGAAAGCCGGAACAATACAACAACAAAGAAAGGCGAGTAGAGAAAAAGGATGATGGGAGAGTTGTGAATATATTTTAGTCACGCCGAGGTAGCGCTCTTATCTGTGTGTTACCAGTGAGGAAGGACTGTGGGTTGAAAAGTCCAGACAGCCAGACCACACTAGGCAGAGACAAGTCCTGAGTCCAGCTGTCCAGCTCTTTACAACGCTGCAACACATCATTATACCTGACACACACACACACACACACACACACACACACACATTTCAGAGTAATGTCAGTGTTCTGGAAACTGAAAAAATCCAGCTACTGTGGATGGATTATATCTCTATGTAATGTATAGCAGAACAGTGTCTCAAACAGCTTGATTATGTTATTTTTTCTCGATTCTGAAATGTATCACCACATTTTTGAAAGCTCATATTCAAACACTGTGACAGAGACACACACACACACACACACACACCATATAGCCAGGCTGTAGGTGGAGGGGTAGGCCAGCTTGGTCCAAGTATCGGGGACGTTGTCAAAGAACAGGGCCGATTGCAGCTTCTCCATCTCAGAGGAGATAGCCAGTTCCCCCTTTGAATACACACATTGAAGATAAGACACTAGTGCAATACTGTAGCAAACAGCCGTGGGACCCTTTTTACACTCCAGTGTGTGGCAGCTGTTCAGATGAAGAAAATCAGCAGGATGGGTTTGTGCGTCAGACCAAGAGGGCTACACTGTACGCAAACATAGAAACACACAGAAAGGTACAAAGCATACCTTGAGTCCCAGGTCAAGCTCCTTGAGCGAGCGCCGTATCTCGGAGACGAGTGTGTTCATGCGCTCACACTCCTGGAAGCAGACCAGAATGTAAGGGGACCGTTCAGCTGTCTTAGAGGTGATGTCGGACATGTTGTACTCCTCTGGCAGCTTCTCCAGCACCTCATCTAAAATGGTTTTCACCTGAGGGAGCGGGGTTACTGGATTAAGTGATGTGGTTCTCTCCACCTTGTTTTTTGCAAAAACACGAAAAGTGCCGCCATTGTGAGAGGTTTTTTGACAGAGCACAGTCACTTTAGCGTGACGCTCCTTCAACAGATCATCAGATGTAAGTCATGTGATTGCCTCCCATTGGTTGTTTATAGTGTAAAGGCACGGCCACACCCGTTTTGTTTGTTAAATGCCCTGATGAAGACCTGCAGTGGTTGAAACAAAGTGGCTCCTCTAATGATTTAGCTATGGGAATAAAGGCTTTTAATTAGTTCCTTCCTCTTGGTTCTAAGATTTTGGAGCGCCTGGATTGCCTTCCTGTTTATCTTCAAGTGTTGTGTTTGTATGGATTAGAAGTTCAGGTACAGGTTCAGACAGTTGATGGCGTATTGGACATGTAGGCGTAGCTACCTTCTCCTCCAGGGTCTGGGAGACTCCCTCCCCCATCACGGCATCAGGAGACTGCAGCTCCAGCAGAGTGTGGAAAAGGTTATCCGATGTCACTGTCAAGAACTCAATTTCTGCATTGGGGTGCAACCCATAATGCACTGGGCTTTCGTGGGGCAGCATCTCATCTATGAAATCATGGTAGCCCTGGACATGTAGAAAAATAAATGGTGAATGCCATCTATTATTGTTATTTGTTCATAAGAAACGCCAATATAAGTTAGTCAGTTGGTACTTTTTTACCATTTTTTATTAATTCACATTTTAAGTGTTTTACAGTCAGACATATTTAGTGGATGGACTCTCCTTGTGTACACTTCTGTTCAGACCAGTCAAATGTTCAACTGTAGGGACAGCTGTGTAAAAGTGAAACTGTGTCAAGCTATCCATCTCCAGTTACCTGGTAGTCCAGGTTGGAGGGGACAACAAACCCAGGAGCCAAAGAAAGCTTCCGGTCAAACTGTGAAAAAAACAACAGAGAGAAGAATTTCAGCTTGAGATATCTATCAGAGTCCAAAATGTTTAATTGTCCAAACCCAGGTAGCCAAAATGTCTAGGTCCAACGGTGGCCTAAATGTGGCACGTCTGCTTGCCAGACACTCTTTAGCTTGCATGTGCAATATCTGGTCCAATGAATTTGCCAAATTGCAGCTAAATGGAGCTGATATTGAGCCCAAAAATCGTCTTTTGTTTGCACTCCAAAAACACAGCTAAATTTGGCACATTTCTCATTTGGTCCCCTTGTTCTAGAACACAGCTGAGCATGCCGACACTCAACCCCAGTCAGCCAGACATTCACTTTGTCTTTTCTCTCTCAAACAAAAGTACAAACCTGGTTGGGCTGCATATATTCTTCCAGGTATGTTCTGCAGAGCCGTCTGTCCCAGTCATCAGTGATGTGTCCTCCATACATGATCTCCCCAAACAGATACCTCAGGTCCTCCCATGGCACCTTCATCATCATAATCATTATGGAAATCACTGCTATACAATCATCATCTCTTATCATCCTCATCGTGCTGTGGCACACCGCAACATGTCGCACTCACACGCATCAACACAGCACACCCCACCTGTGCATTAGCCTCCAGGTAGTTATAGAGGACGTTAACTGATATGGTCAGGTCTCCAGTGTTGAAGGGATACTTTCTGTTCCAACCCTGGGATCCAAACTTCCTCCTCTCTGCCACACAGGCGTGGAAGTAACACAGAGAGAAGAGGATGGTCTTAAACTCCTGCTCACGGCTGCACTGGTCCAGGATGTCCTAGGAAGAGACCAATGAGTTAATAAATAAACAAACAAGCACTACTAGCACCACCACACACTCACCTGGTCAAAGTTGTCCAGAGCAGCATGTAAATTGGCATGCATGCCCGTCGGAGGTTCATTGGTGATCTTGATAGCGTTTTCCAGGATACCCTGAGGAAAACATATAGCATCTGTATTTAATGCCACGACTGTAGCGTCTATGTCAAAGATACCTGGGTGCCTGCATTCATTCTATGTATATATGATTTTACGGCATGCACACTGCATCTCTACCTGTGGGATAGTGTGTTCCTGGGGTGTCGGCGCCGGCTCAGCGCTCATGAACACCCTGTAGTCCGGATTACTGCCCTCGCAGCAGCGCTCCAGGAGCTTCTCAAGTGAACCCAGCCAGCGAGCAACCAGGTGGATGTTCTACAGGGAGGTGAATGAAAACACATCATCAAAATCAAGTTTAGTACAGTGACAGTGTGAACTTTGAAGCATGGATTATTTAGAGCTTCAGTCAGTAATTATTATTAAAGAGGGAGCATGATTCTGTCACATGATTCTTTGCTAAGAAAAAACATTATTTTTATCTATCCAAATATTGCGTATAAACTCTTCTCTCTTCCAGTCGGACCTGCAAAATAACCCAGTGACCCTCCTTGGCAGCCATCTCCATAGCAACCTCAGCCACAGCTTCCTGGCCCTGGCCCAAGGACACGTTGTGAAGCTTCCCAAGGTCGATAGTGAAACCCAGCTTCCTCCCTGGGAACAGGAATGTGTTGATGTAGATTAAAACCTCCCACTGCGAAAAATCTTCATGTGATTATACTCCCACTGAAATCCATCCATCCATCTATCCAAGTGAGTCCACTCTGTTTACAGTACCCAGTGACTCCACATCTTTAAGTGGGTCCACTCCAGGGGACAGGATGAAGAACACGGGTGAGGCTGGACCACTTTCTCTGAAAGACTTAGCAAATTCAGTCTTTCGGCCCTCTGTATACTTCACGCCAAGTTTCTCCTCCACAAAGTTCCTACAGTATGCCAATAGGGAAGAGCAGAAATAGTCTCGGTTTGTGGAAAATTTATATAAAAGTTGATAATCTAAAAGGAAAAAAAACAACCGTAACATAAGAGGAGAAACAAACGTTCCTCACCTAAGAGCATAGGTCATTCGATCAGGTCTCAGGGCTCTCATCATGATGAGTTTCTGCAGGGAGCTTTTCCCTTTCCACTCCTGAGGAAACTTCTCTTTCTCAGGACACTCAGACTCCACCATCTTCTTCCAGCGCTTAGGAGAACCTTCAATGTCCCGATCCAGACCACGAAACTCATCAGCGAAGCTCATCACCTGGGCAACAGCAAGGCACAGCAAGGTTGTGTTGGCACAAAATCATTTCCAAATTTGAGCCGGCAAAAGAAATCCTGTGTGGACGTGTGTGTGTGTGCACCTTGATGGCGCTCCACGCTGTGTTGGAAAGAAAGTCGAGGGGGCTGACGTAGTGGTGGTCAATGTTAAAACGCAGCAGGAAGTCTAGCTCTCGCACATCTATCTCTTGACTCATCAGGAGCAACTAAAAGAGAACGAACACAGTCAGGGATGAAACACACACACACT